CTTCCTTCCCTAAAACCCAAACATTCTGCTGTATGAGTGCCTTAGGACACATATCTGCTATAAATTCATTTTTTATCTAATTTGTCTGAGATCTAAGCTTCCTATGGAGGTCCGAGATCAAAGGATCTGATTCCTTCTGATGTTAGTGCTGACATATAATGTGTGCTGACTTAGTTCTGTCTATAACCTCACAGTGGGAGGCGGCCCGCCTCCCTGGGCACCTTTACTCAGTGCACTTTCATTTCGGCTAGGGAGTCTGTCAGGTACGTTGCTGATTGGGGCTGCCATGTAAATAATTCATGGGAGATTTTTAAATGTTTTGGGGCTTGCAAAGGCAAGCTATGCTTGTGTTAGTCTTTTCTTAAAAGATGCAGACTTGAAGAACAGGGGGTAACAGATTTCCAATGACGAGCTCTCAAAAACAGGATAACATCTTCGATGAGTTGAAAATAGGTGACTTGCTGTTTGATGCCCCTTATATAAAGTGGTATTGGTTTTTACCAAGGAATAAAAATGCTAAGTCTCCCCCCCCCCTTTTTAAGTATGTTTCTATGTGACAATTTAATATTCTTGTTCTTTGTTTATTTGCTGATCTCGATAAACTATGTCTTTTCCTCCTGGTGGGAGCAGTACTTACAGAAATGACACAGATCAGTATGTGGCATAGAACTGAGCATGATGGGGAGACAAGGTTGATGGCACAAAACGTTCCTTCCCTGGAGGAACTCAACATTCAAAGAGGAAGACAAAACTGTCATACAAGGGAAATTGATCAATAATAGAAGCAGTTGCACAAGTCAAAGGGAAAACTCTAGTCAACAAGTATTGAGGCGTAAATCAGTGTAGTCTGATTTAGTTAAGGAACAGTTCTGGCAGGAGTTGAGATCCCATAGGGAAACTAGTATAACCTGGCGGTTCCCATAGATCTAAGAGAATAATCCATAGTTAGGTGGTCATGGCAGATACTTGCTAGGCAAAAGTCTGTGGAAAAAGAAGAGAGTAAATATGGGTAATGTGGGTTTAGCAGAATATTAGTTGATGCATCATAGAAACAATATAAACAACATGATACTCTCATTTTATTGCTGTATATCAAAGTGTATCACATATATTTGTATTATTACTATTACCTTCTCTCTTTCTCACCTCCATTCCCATTCATTGTTAGATTAAATTGAATAGAAAATTAGTACACTTTTTGTCCTAATAATGTACTTATAGTATAATATAGATATGATTACTATCTTCTAACATGAACCAAGGTCGGTCTCAGTAAACTAAATGAGAAGCATAGCACACAGGTTAAAAATTATCATTTACATAGTATACAAAACAGTGGTTAATGAATTTGCAGATGAGATGTGAGGAAAGCAAGGTTAAGAAATGTCAATATTGGTATTGCCACGTACCCTTTTGGGGATTTAGTACAGTTCTCAAACTTTTTTCACTGTAAGGTACATAAGGAATAACATTCACGTGTATGCCAAACTGCCATGCATGTACTCAACCAAACAGTCTTCTTAAATCCTCATTGCTATCTCTAACTTCACAAAATATTGAGGGAGGAGTGCTTAGATTAGAATATAGACTCTGGAGCTAACAATCTTCAATTCTGTGGAGTAGATAACATCTGTCACTACTTTGTACATGGCCTTGGAAAGTTACTTAATTTTTCTGCACCTCAGTGGACTTCCTTCTAAAACAGATATAATAATAGTACTTATTTCAGAGGGTTGTTATAAGGATTAACATATATA